CGCTTTACATTTCTGATTGTCCTCTAAAAATTGGAACTAGTGTTATTTTCTATACATGTGAAAGAAATCTTTTTAATATAAACAGTTTTCAAACTGTGCTTGTGTTGTTTTTTTAAACATTATTTCTATGAATGGTGTGTTATTACCTATGTATAGGGGACAACTACAGTTTGTTTGCTCATTTCAGATAAACAATAGACTTTTTTTATATAGCAGTTTTTTTAAATTTGTAGTCAGATAACATGTGATCCAGGTTGCCTAGGCTGGAAGCATTTGAGCAGCATTTTTTTATTCACTACAATCAAGACCGATATTTGTTAACCAAACATAATGTGATTTGTCCATACTGATATGGCACTGAACGTCCACAGAAAGCATTACTACAGATTTTGTATGCATTTATAAGAATGCAAATAACACCTAAACCTGATATGCTTTCCATATTTTGCACGTTGACCAAGGTCAGGCTCATCCAAACCTGAAAGGAAGCGAATCACCTGTGGAAGGAGCATGACATGCCCCGCATCTGCATTTAAAAATAGGGGCAAGATGCTGGTGACATCATTGACTTAATATTGCCACATGGCCATCTTGGTTTAGGACATTGACCTAAGATGATCATGTAGCCATATAAAGTCAATGTTGTCACGAAAATCCCGCCCCCTTTGTTTACACCGTGGCTGCAACTGATTGGACCGCACTCACCGCTTCCTTTTGGGTTTGGATGAGCTTAGTTTCCATCCAAATCTGAGCTTATCCCTATTTAGGATAGCTTGAATGCATACACATTAAGCAGCCCCCTTTAAAGTCCATATCTAGGTTCAGAAACCCCCATTTAAAAAAGCGGGGTTGGGTTTTAACAACAGTAGGGCAGGGGGATGAGGACAAGGGGCTAAGAGAAGAGACCCCATGTTTTTTGCACTGTACCGAATGAATGTATTCTCATTGTACACTAATTGCAGGGCCCTTCTGCAGTTAAGGAGGGACCCTACTACACTGGTATCACCTAGTGGACATCTCACTGCTTGTCAGTTCTTACCTCATGACTTTGTGACACTCAAGTTTGTGAGTATGATTCGTTTTTTTATTGATGTTTATTGAAATAAAAGTGATCTGCACCAGGAAAGGCGCCCCTTTTGTGCTTATTTCCTATGTATATATGTATATACTGTCAGATAAAGGCACAACCTCTTTAAAGTTTACCATTTGTATTACAACCTGAAAGACTAACTAATGTACATGCATTAGGCCAACAGGGCAATTGAATAATAAATCAAAAATGGTTAGATATTTTTAAGAGATTTGGGGGTATGGGAAAATGTTAGTGGGGTCATGACTCAATTAAGTGGGAGGCATCTGTGGTTAAGGTTCAGGGCAACATAAATATGGGCACCCCATCGAAACTAAAGGAATGGAAGTAGGCTTTCCCAGCTCTGTCACAGACACTACTTAAGTTGCTCTGAGAATCCTTTTTAACAAATAACACATTTTCAGTATTGCAAATCTCATTCCGTCTCCATAAGCATCTTGTTTCTAGATGATGTGTTTTTTGTACTGGTGCTGGTTATCTTGGCTCAGGCCCCTGTTAAGCCTGCATGGCTCACCGATATATGGAAAACTCAAATTGAAACTGATGAGCCAGTTAAGTTGATTCTTTTGGCCGTAAAATGAAAATTCGCCACGCACATATTATCTTGTGAGGATGTAATTTACAGAGGGGATAGGGATTGAATAGGAAAAGCGCTTACACAGAAGCATTGTTGTAAATACAGATATCAGGCATACACAAGAAGGATAAGGTGTCCTTTGTAAAGCCATTGTCATTCCATAGGTCTGTGTCACTTTGTTTAGTAACCATTCAATGTAAATACTGACAAATGCACTGAATTGAGAATAGCAGTGTCAGTAATAGGGGATTTTATTAACGCCAATAAAGGCAGTTCTTGCCATTGTAACTGCATGCTTTAACTTTTTGGCTGCTGGTTTATCAGCTACATTTTTATTTGATGGTACAATTCAATTACTTTTTTTATTATTTTTATTCTGATTTGAAACATAAGGTTTACAAAACTAAGGTCCCACTCCCACAGAGGCAGACTAAAATATGCCTGTATTTGCGGCACATGGGAGCCCCAGCTGTAACGTTTTTGTGTCCATAGAAATGTATGGACAGAATACGCTGTATGCACTATGCAGGCATATGTGTGTAAATGCAAGTACTGGCCTTTACATACATAGACGTATGGGTGTAAGTGCCAGAACGCAAAACTTACACCCATGTGCATGAACCCTAATAGTGAAAAATAATAATGAGAGAAAATATTATACAATTTTTGATGATAATGATTATTAATACACATGAAGAATAAATCATCACCCACTGCACCTATCATGCATTCCGTAGTTAGGTTGTATCTCTAGTCAGATTTTTTTTTTAGTGTTATAATAGAGAGGATAGAGAATAGAACAGATAGAACCCATGTCCGGTTTTTATTGAGGCTCTGTCCCCAATAGGGATACTCATCTTCTCAATTTCTCCTCATGACTATTACCAATGGGACAGAAAGTGGTGAAAGTCCAAAGTTGTTGTCATTAAAAAAAAGGAGGTGAGGGATATCTTCCAATGGGGACATTTGTTTTGATAAGAGATTTCCTCTTCACTTCCAGCTATGTCTCAGGAACAGGAAATGAAGGGAAATATCCCCAATAGGACACTGACAGCAGACACAAGCTTTAAATTTATTTTCACAGTTGAGAAAAACTTTAAAGAAAAAATTGTTTAACGGAAACGTGTTACAAAAAATATGATTGCTATTACTGACTCTCAGGCTGGTTCTTTGGCTTAAGTACTTTCAGCTTATTGTATATCTAGACTTTAGAGCAATATATTTAATATATTGCAGCTTACCAGTCCTTAGATGTATTGGATGCATTCAGACAAAGAACATTTTCAGCAATTCCAGAAAATACTTGTTGATCTTGCCAGAAATGCTATATTCCTGTCACTTCCTATGAATTGAACTGAAAGCTCCAACAACCATATCTTCTTCTCAAACCATTTGTGTAAACTACTAATTCCACTGCTCTACATGTAAAGGGGGCGCTGCATCCGGCTTTTGACAGCTAGTTAGGTTATACCGCAGAGTGCTTCCCACTGCTTGTGTGCCCTAACTAGTGAGGCAAGAGCTGCAACAGCCTCTGCTTTATGTTAGATGCTTGAGCTCTGTGGATGGTTTGAACCAATGGCAAAGCGTGATTGGTCCAAGCTGTCAAATAAAAAAAATGAAAAATGAGAAAAAAAACCCACTGAAGACATCTCAATGACTCACCAGTGACTAGCAAGGGAAGGACATGGAGGCTCCTCCCTGTCTCCTCCCTTTCTCCTCCCTCCCTCCTTCACACTAGCTTGGTGACCGGGTTGGGGGGCTCTGTCACGTTGGGGGCGGGGCTTCTGTGTGCCGGGCGTGTTGGGGCATGCAGGGGTGGGGGAATGCCTCTCACCCAGCAATGAAACCGCACGCCACTGATGTCAAGTGCCATTGTAACAAGATAATTATTTGTATTCACTTCACCTCTCAGTGGTCACAATGTTATGGCTGATTGGTGTATATTCTTGAACAAATTTCCTCCCACTTCCTCTTAAGTCATGACACAAACTGGATGGAATTGTTCCAAAAGGAACACAGCAATATATCACTTTATTCTTTAGCAGAGTGGAAGAGGGTTACAACCAATAGTAAAAATCTGACAGAGACTCAAACTTTAAACCACTCTATACATCTTAAAAACACTTTTTTTACTGGAGTTCTACTTCAGGGATCTATTTATAAAGTGGTGAATGTGATATTTACCAAACACTCACACATGGTGAATTTTTATGGGCAATGCTTTTAAATCACACTGAATGATTGGTGAATGCCAGATTCACTGCTTTATAAATACATCTGCCCAACTATATTTCTGGATATGTCATAACTATCAGTGCACTTCTATGTGTGTTTGGGGCAGGGGTTTCCCTACACTTTGTGCCGCGTAAGGCATGGGTGGGGGATGCAGGAGATGCATGGTTCCTCTGGCTCCAGTTCTGTCCAGCATCCCTCCAAGCTCACTGATGTCAATGGTTGCCAGGAGCTGGGTTGGATTCCAGCTAAAGCATACTGCTCAGCTCCTGGCAACCAGTAATGTCAGTGAGCTGGGCAGGATGCTGGACAGAGCTTCACAGGTTAAGAGCTCTTAGCAACCTGGGATGCACTGGCCGGACAGGGGTGACAAGTGTGCCTCTATGAGATACTGTCTGAGGCAACCGCCCCAAGATGTCTCATCATAGCGACATCGCTGGTTAGGGGCAGCACATTTGGGCAGCGCAATCATTTCAATGCATGACAATTGCACCAAAGAAGTGCATGCACTTTTTTTTAAATGTGCAGCACCAAAATGCATGGTACGTTTGTACCATGCATTTTGGGGTGCTACAATGCATATGCTTTGGCAGGTGCATTTGGGGAGGCTTTCAGAATGAATGGCATCAGTGTGCCATCAACCGCACAATTTTGCTTGCATTCCTCCTGCTGCACAGGTGTGAATGGGGGGCTTAATTATTACATAAACACACATATTAGGGAAAATAATTCTGTTTTTTCATGTTTCAGATCAAATATTTACTACTAAAATTAACTTTCACCCTTTTTGTTTATTAGGAACAGTGTTTCATATCCTGGTGTTTTCTTTTACATCATCAGGATGAGTTACTTCTTGTGTTAGAAGCACAACAACATTACAAGAGGGATTTCCCACTGAGACAGAGCAGCGGGAGAAGAACAAGCTCTAAGGTCATAGCCCGACATCAGCACTTATCTGCCTGTGAGCAGAGAGGAGCCTGGGGCTTCATAAAAGAACAATCAGAGGTGGATATTCAGGGTCAGGAAAACAACAGAGAATGCCTCTATAGAACAGGAATGTCTGTACACAGCTTGAGACAAGAGTCCACAAAGGGACCTTACCTTGCCACCCGGGTTTGCACACAGGCTTTACATCCACTTTCACAGTGACCTCTTCCGCTGCATGCTTCTGGCCGCAGTCATATGCAGTGACTTTAATCTCGTACTGAGGCTGCTTATCATAGCTCAGCTTTTCTGTGTTCCTGATGTTACCTTGAAGATAAAAAGATCATGCACACCATGATTAGGAAGAAAGATCTTGACTCAGCGGAACTTAGTTTTGTCCTAAGCTAACTACTCTTCAAAAACTGTAAATGCTGCACAAAGTTTAAAAGCTGAACTCCAGGCAAACAGCTAAACACACAGATGAAATAAACATAAGAAAACTGTTCAATGTGCCAAAGGATTTGTATTTCTGTCAATTCAATCCTGAGATTTACACAGATCTACCACACAGCACAGGTTCTGTCTGGCAGGACAGGAGACCTGATTTTTCTCTGCTGCAGCTAAGTTACACTTACAGGTCTAGTCCCTGCCCAGCCTGTGACTGGACAGTGAACGGAGAAGCAGCTGACTGAGGAGTTAAAGTGATATTAAAGTCAAAATGTTTTAAAGTTATTTCAAGTGCTGATTAAATCACTTACAATGGATGCTACCCTTTGATGTTTCACAGCTTTAGTTTCCTGCAGATTCAGCTGATCCCCTCAGCATTGGCTAATTTGCCTTGCAGGGTCCTATGGACCCACCCTTGTGTGTGCTAGTAAGCTCTGTGTGTCTGTTTTTGGGTGGACTTCTGAATGGTTTTCGATAAAATACCTATGGCATCAGGTTACATTTTTTTACTTTGTTTAAAATAAAGCACAAGTGGTACATCAATATGCACTGATTAGTATTAGCTATTTCATAAGATTATTATTATTATATAAGAACATAATTGCCATTATACCATTAACAATTACCTGGTTAGTTCGCATGTTATACATTTTTAGCATAATTTGCAGGGGATGGTTATTCATTGCAATAGCTATTAACTTATACATTACAATCATGAACTATATAATAACATCTTAGAACTCTCATGACATGGTAGAACATTTGACTTATAATACTGGATTCATTCAGCACACAGACAGTGTTCTAGTCAGATAAATTACACACACTTAATAATGCACAATGTAACACATCACAGAGAGCAATCTCTAGCATACGTTTGATCTGTAACTGCTACTTTCCACTCATATAGCATAAATGTTAAAATGAAGAAGATTCAAAGATCTCAATCATGTATCTAGTAATAAGCGTGTCTTGAGCACTGAAATAAAAGTTAATCTTTTTGTACTGATTGATGCAAGATATTAAAAGAGAACTATGGGGTAACCGTTTTTCCACATAGTTCTCTTAAGGGTACAGGAGGACATATACTAGCGTCCTCCCGTTACTCAAAGCTCAGTATATCGCGAGCTACAGCTCGCGTTATACTGCAACCGCTGCAGCCGGGACGGATCCCGACAATGCTGTTGATCCACCTCAAGATAAGCAGAGCACGCTGTCAATCAGCCAGCGGGTTCTGCCTATCTAGAGGCAGAGCCAGCTGTGCCCGCCCCTCCCTTGTCCATTCCACCAGTCAGTGTTGGAGCATCAGAGAGGGGAGGGGGGGGGAGAATCCCTGCGGGGAGTGGTGACACACAGTCACCACTCTCTGCAGGGAGATGATCGAGAAGTGAGCGAGTGACAGTTTGCGTTCGCTCAGTTACCGATCTATTGAGCCGGCATGTGACAGTTTCATTGTCACACGTTGGCTCGAACTATGAGGATGAGTGATTTTCACTCAACTCATAGTTCTCCTTTAGCATGCAATGCAAAATGCTTCTTAAATGAAAAGGAACATACAAAAGGGATTTATTCTGAAGTGATCAAAGAAAGCAGTAATGGCTCTTACATATGGAGTAAAAGTGTCAAGCTTGGACTTGACTTATGGAAAAGCCACACAGGCCCTCGCTACGGAACACTAAATTTCAAGGAGGCATTGCCATGAGTTTTGTCTCTTTATGGTTAGATAATTCACTTTCATAAGCAAATTCAAGCACGTTAGCATCTGCACATTAGAAATATTTATTCAAATTGACAGGACTCTTACAGACATAAATTATAATAAAGGCATATTCAAATTTTTTTTAAACTTCATGAATGCAGCCACATTGATGAAAGAAAAAAAATGCACGTTTATTGATTTTTGGCAATTGAATTGCAAACATGTGAATCATAGGTGCAATGTACAGGCTTCTGCTGACCTGTCCTCCAGTCAAAGTACAGGCCTTCTGTGTGATTGGGCTGGAGGAATCAATCAATGGACTACAAGCGTCCTGCGCTTGTGCTCCACTGAGACCTGTAAGTCCCTTTTCTGCGGTGGCAGATCCTGTAAATGGATCTGTGAATACATGATGTGGTTGTGCGTGAACAGCCATTCACATCCGAGCTGCACTAAAATATATTCAGGATACTGCACAATTTATGTGTGTGTGTAGGAATGGGAGCAATTTAAAGGTGGGAGGTTATTGAATGTGACCATGTTTCATGTTACATCCTGGATATGGTTGTAACATGTAACATGGTCACAGATCTGGACTTAGCCTTTAAGAAGTGATACACAAACCTGGAAAAGCCAACATCAAACATCCTCAGCCTATCCAAGTTTAATGGGTGTAAGCGGGATGGACCATAGCAGAAGAGAATCTGGCTTAATTAAGATCTCTCCAAAGTGCTAGAGTGCGCTGGGCACACATATAATGGGTGGACCTCATCCCATCTTTCTATTCCCTTAATACAACATGCATGATAATAACACATAGGGACAGAGATGCAGAGAGTTAAAAGTTCTTTCGGAGCTCTAGGTTCCAAAAATGCAGATACTTATAATTGAACACAGGTTTCTCTCTTTCTCTCAACCATGCTATTCTCTGGGCAAAAGGGTTGGAAAAGCAGATACTATTTTCATACATTGGTGGTCCAGCGCATGTACCAATCATACACTTTAACAGACTTCAGATCTGGGCAACTCACATGCAAAAGCTACTGGCAGCTACTCTTAAAACCTTGTGACTTTGGCATTGTTGCACATACTTAACGGGTAACTCCACTCCAAAATATAAAACGTAACAAACCTTAAACAACAATATAGCGTATATAAGTATCGCACACGCCATTTTGTAATTTAATGTTATTAAAAATCACCTTCTTAAAACTATAGCTGCTGTAATGTTCTAAATCTGTGAAAAAATGCAGTGCAATATGGCTTCCTGGAGGTGTTTTGTAGACAGTTGGTGTACAGAACGTCCCCAGAAATGTCACTTCCTGCTTCTGTGATTGGCTGACTGAATTTCCCAGATGTCTGCTCTAAGATACAGGTACAATTTTTGGCATCCCTTGCAATAGGAATCTCATTTTTTGTGAGATAGTCCTTAATAATGAATTACTGTTAAAAGGATGCCGACACTGCAGCTTTCCCTATTACAACACCGGATGTCCACCAGCTGGTTATAATGAATCCAGACCATCCCATTAAAGGATCAGTTTGGAAAGGACATGCTGCAGCAAAACGTTTTTTCTTCAGAACAGACACAGGTAGAAAATTGCAACATAGTTTGTTAAAATCCTTACAATGTACACAGATCACTCAGAGAGCATTGATTTTTTTTCTCAACAAAAAGTGGCACAAGCAGGGCTAAATGTAGAACCCCGCACCTACCTCTCTCCATGCTGGCTCTGTCCTCCCGGGTCTGTCCTCTCTTTGATGGGCGCTTCATGATGGAGAGCAGGAAGCATATGCCTTTGGCTCAGTTTAGCCGCTCGGCTGCTGTATGGGCTATTGTGAATAACCCGTACAGCAGCCCTTCGCTTCCACTGAACCGAAGGGCAGAGGCAGCCGAAGGGAACCAAAGGATCAGCCAAAGCTACGGCTCGATCCTTCGGCTCTTTCGTGAATATCCCCCCTAGAGTTTTTACCTCCTATAAGGTAATGTTTAAAAATACTTAGAAGTGCTGACAATAATTTTCATTACCCTAGTTCCAGGAAATAGTACAATGATGTGATCATGTGAATTTTTGCAGCTCAAAAATTGAACGGACTGCATCTGGTGTGAATGAGTCCTAAGACTGCAAACAAACAATCAATCAAACAATAAGAACCACACTCACAGTGTGATAATGCCATAATAATGTGCTATATGAAATCTATGGTACTCCACGTCAGCTGTGTCTTCAGTGCAGCATATACTATAAGGTTCCAAAGTACCAAAACTTGCTAAAAAAATCATCTAGTGATGACATTCACCCTTGTGCTCCCCCTGAAGTGAATACACTTATTGGATTTAATAAACCAATACAGCTAATGGTGAAATAACACACAATGGGACCAGTTCAAAGCTTTACACTCTGATGGACTTTTTCTCATTACCAATTTTCCCCTCAGAATTCCTCTTAACATATACATAGAGAAAACAGACCTTCCATAGTATAACACTGCAGATATTAAATTAATAAAACAAAGAAAAAGCACACTCACAGACACGTGGTATCTCAGCACTAAATATATTTGCTCTTTGTGCGCTGCTCACCACTTTATCTGTGTGGCAGCAGCACTTTTGGGTGGTGTAATGACATCAATATGTCCCCTCCCACTCAATGCATTAAGTCCTGTGACTTTTTCTGGAGGGGGCAGGAGTCTCCACTCCTGAAGAAGTTACACAATGAAACGGGTTTCACTGCTCACTCAAAATATTGTTAGTTTTATTTATGACCACAGTGCACTTTATTTTATTAAAGGACCACTATTGCAAAAAAAATATATGTTTCTCCACATTTACATGCAGGACAAACTGGCAAAACTGTGAAAGGGTCTGGGAGAAATAATACCACAGGTCAGCTTTTCCAAAGTAAGAATGTTTGAGCTACAGTAAATCAATACTTAACACCCCCCACCTAAAGTGTATGTAAAGGTAAAAATGTTGTTAGATTTGGATACAGCAATAATAGGTTACAACCACTGTCTGGTGTTTTTTGCTAGTTGTGTCCCCTCTAGAGAGATGGACCCTTCTATGTGTCTTGTTGTCTAATGTCAAAGAGGCAGAAATCCAAAAATGTATAGTAGTTACCAGGGCAACAGGCTAGGATAAATCAATCAATGGGAATTTGGGGAGATCTTCTATTATTTCCTG